GCCCAAGACATAGGAGGATAAAGTCGGTCTAGAGCAGCTCTGCCACAAAAACTTTGGACACTCAGCTAAGCTGCATAAAGCCACCAACATGAAGGAGTAGGTTGCTCTTCCCCTCCAGTGGATACCTCACCCTAGCTCAGCAACTTCATCAGAGGAAGCGCCCGAGCATGGCACAGCAGCTGAATGTCACTGGGGGACATTCCACACTTGTGTAGGTGCCCCAGCTCCACTGCTGGTCATCTGTGTTCTCCCCTGCATTGGACTTTGGTTAAACCAAGGACTGCAGTCTAGGAAACGGTGCCAGGTCTTTCTCAACTGCAAGGGAGATCTAACCAGCTTGATCCTGGAGTTAAAATGTATCACCTCCCACAGCCAGGAAGGGAACAGCATCCCCAGCAGCCCATCTTTCTACCAGCTTCAGTGACAGACCAGTGCTGTGACATCCCTTCCTCCAGAGACTCAGGGTCTGCTCTCAGGTTCTGGTCCATGTTCCACATGGCAAAGTCAGGGGTTAAGGCTATGAGAGTTTTAACCACGTTAGCCTGCAGATCAATACATGCTAAAAACTAAAGACAACCATGCAACTTAAATGTTAAAAAGAAAGAAATAAAGAAGAAAGATAGAAGACAGCAGGTGAAGGCTGTAAACCATGCTTTATTAGAGCAAAGTTAAAAGACAGAAAAAGAATTAATTTGGTGGGCTCAAAACAGAACCTATTAATTCTTCTACCATCAACAAACAATGTGGGAAGCCTCTGGCTCTTGGCTAAGGATAGTTCTGCTGCTCTTTGTCCTGGATCCTCTCCTCTGTCTCACCACTTCCTAGCTTTAGCTGTGCAACACTACCAGGACCACAGTTTATGTCTGCACCTCCTGTGGGAGAGCTCACCAATAATACCTGTGTGGAAAGGCTCCCCACATTCCCAAATTAAAATAATTTGCAAGAAGAGACCCAAACTTTGTTGGCCTCGTTGATGGTGGTCCAGAATCTAACTGGATTGCTCTGAACCTACAAGGCAGTTAATTATTTCACCGGAGGCAGTTTGAATCCAGTATACCAAAAATTAGTATTTATTATTATTATTATTTAAGTTCTGTGGCCTAAAAGGAAGAGTTCCCATGGCAAAGCAGACTTAAACCAGGTATACCTGACTTTCTGACTCACCAGAGTCAGCAATCTTTTAAAACCTAAACCCACTGATCTGCCACCTGAAGTAATTTTCCTTTGACTAGGATTTAGGACCAGATTGCTTCTTCCACTTCTGTTGTGTATTAAACTCTTTAATAGTGTGACCACTTCTAGTCTGAAAAGCCATTTTCTTAAATCATGATGGCTCAAGGGGGAGACATTTCTCCAGCTTGTGCCATTCCCACCACGTGCTCTCTGTGGTCATGTATGTATGTGCCAGAGTTAGGTGGGACAGAAAGCAGAGATGCTAAAACTCCAAACACTGCAAGCCAAATTTTACCAGAAAAACACTAGACAACTCTGGTGAAGGTGAATAAGTAAACATCTAAGAAACTCTTTGTGCCTCAGTTTTGCTCTCCTAAAACTGGGAACAAAAATACTACATAACCCTCCTCTCAGAAGTACTAGTGAGGATTATTCACTGTAAGTCACTCTGCCTGGGCTACATCAGCCCAGCAAACATCAGTAGACCTGACTCTGCTTGTGCTGCCCTTGAAACTAGCCCCAGGATAGCATTGGGAAACCTGTAATGTGCAGTTGCCATGACTGAAAGCCACAGACAATGTCAAGGGTTTATTTTTACTCAGTTGCTGTGAGCAAAGATGCCTCAGTTTCTATTGTAGTAGCAAACCACACACCTGTAGCACCTAAGATACACTACAAAAAGTTCCCATGCTAGGAAATGCAATGTTATAATGGTTAAAACTGGAACTAAAAGAGAAATGCTCTAAATTCTACCTAGTGATAAAATGCCTCCATGCATTAAAAAAGGCAGCTGACTATATATTTGTAAGTCTAAAGCCATTGGCTGCAACACTAAAAGGTACCACACTGCTCAAAACTGATCTCAAAAAGCTGTCTCTCATGAGCTGCAAAGATTTCTGACCGAAACCTGGCATAAGAAAGGGTTTATGCTTTTTCACATGTAACCTAATAAGCACTGTACAGATTGAATGAAAAGTCCCCTTGCTGATAAAATGTAGTTTTAAATGTATGCTGTTTACTTAAGCAGCTAGGGAAAG